TTGTAAAAATAAGGAAATCTTAGGCAGGTATGTGGTTCATAACTATGATACCAACCAGAACCTGGGAGGTGGAGGCAGAATATCAGGAGTTCAAGGCCATTCTCAACAAGGCAGAGTTAGAGGTCAACATGGACGACAGGACACCCTATAAAGTACAGTAAAAAGGCAACTAGTAAAGTTTTCTTAGAATTTATAAGAACATTATAAATGTAGATGCTAGAGAGCAAATAACAGCTATCTGGTATTTTAATTAAATTAGAGTGATAGAAGCTAGCTAATGGTTCTCCACAGTATTTTCATAAATAAACCAAAACGATTGTTACTATGTTTCATATGACACCCATGCTTTTAAAGTTGTCTAAAGTCAAAAGATACTGTCCAAATCATGATACTTTATGAACACATTTATAACTTGATGTATTTGAACTTCTGATATACATAAGATATTTATTGTGTAGTAACTGCTATGGTCACCAAGAAAAGCACAGATACAGGACCTGGTATTTCACTGATGCAGTATTGTATATGCATGTGTTATAGCACAGAACCCCCTTTATCAACCGTTTCAATCTGGTGCACTTGCATAATTTGTAGTCAACAAGTTGATAAATATTAATCCAATGATTGAATAGAAAATTCCAGGAAGAAGTTAACTCTGTGTCTTGAGTTGGACATTGTTGTGAAGAGCACAGTGAGCTCTCCCACCGTCTTGGTCAAGGCATGAGTCACTCCTCACCACCTTCGTCATGGCTCTTCTTGGTTGTCAATTTATGTCTGCAGTGAACTAATCCAGAAATGAGGGCACTTTTGAGATCCAGATGTTAGGACAGGAAGACATCTGGCCTTTAAGGCTGGATGACACATGCCTTTAATTCAGACCTGGAGACTGGAAGGCACACTTTTGATCTGGGCCACACCTTCTGTTGGAAACCCATAGAAGGACAATGGAAGAAGGATGGTGGGGGAAGGGTGGCTTCACCTGCTTGCCCTCACCCCCATCAGCACATTCATCTCCTTCTTTGAGATCCCAGCAGAGCAGCTGAGATACCAGCCTTGCAGGACTCAGCAGCTACTAGAGTCGAGCTCTCCATTCATAGCCATTGTTGGGCTGCAGCCTGAAAGTCCTCCCAGTGAATTCATATATGAATGGAGAGAGAGAGATTCATTCTGTAAATTCTGTGACTCTAGAGAACCCTGGTTAATACAGGCTGCCATTCACCCAGGCTTGTGCTCAAATACCTCTCATTTTACTGAATAGTGGCTTCAAGTTGTGAACTCTCTGAATGCGGCAACACTCCTGTGTCAAAGGGAAACCACAATTGCTTCCTCTACATGAAAAGGTGAAAAGACTCCATTTAAGTAAAGGGGAAAAAGAAAAATAAAAACAGATTTTTCTAGTACATAGCAAGCTGTGAAAGGCACAGCCACACTTATGCATGTATTCAGTTAAGGCGGAAAACTCCCTTGTGTTTGCATGTGTGAAGCAATACTCATAGAGATGGCTTCTAACCACAGATCAGCTCTCCATTAAGAGTTGGAGAGCTCAACCTGTGCAGATAATGGGAGAATAATGTAGTTAAAATCCTGGAAACAACACGGCGGCCGAGGCCACTGGGTCTGCTTAGAGTTCCAGACCAGCCAGGGCAGCATATTGAAACTCTGTCTGAACAAACAAACCACGCAGGTGCCTAAACTTTATTCCAAGATGGAGAAGATCATTACAGACAGCAGTGAAGCAGGCCCCATGTTAAACAATAGAATTGCTATACATCACCAGTGCAAAGGTGGTACTTAGCACAAAACTGAGGGGTGTGTGTGTGTGTGTGTGTGTGTGTGTGTACCTCCTATAAACGAAGATGCTCCTTCTTGGAGGAATTGCTGGCTCATCCCATAGCAGAACACGTACTTTACTTTTGTACAGCACTCACTCAGCAATTTTCAAGACATCTTCTCCATCAATCAAGTTTGACCTTCCTAAAACCCATTTGACCCAACTGTGGAATTCTGTAGTAAGGAGGCTAATAAAGGCTCTTTTCTGTACCCCACCCTCAACATGAATCTAATTGTCCAAGTAGACCAAACTACCTCATTCATTCCAAATGCTCTCAACTAGATTAAAAAGTGTGTTTTTCTTTAACTTCTCAGACTGCTGCTGGTGCCCACATTGGCATCGTTTGGCTCTGAAACTTGGCTGTCTTTGGCTGATCCTTCTTGTCCTGATTGTCGTTAAACTCAGTGTCTTAGGTAAGTGAGACAAATGTTTTTACCTTAGAATTCTCTCTCTGGCCTGGCAGTGGTGACGCATGGCTTTAATCCCAGCATTCTGGAGGCAGAGGCAGGCATATCTTTGTGAGTTCATAGGCCAGCTTGGTCTNCACCAAGGCAGTATTGTAGACATATGTGTTATAGCACCCTTTATCAACCATTTCAATCTGGTGCACTTTCATAATTTGCAGTCAATAAGTTGATAAATATTAATCCAATGATTGAATAGAAAATTCCAGGAAGAAGTAACTCTGTGTCTTGAGCTGGACATTGTTGTGTAGAGCACAGTGAGCTCTCCCACCGTCTTGGTCAAGGCATGAGTCACTCCTCACCACCTTCGTCATGGCTCTTCTTGGTTGTCAACTTATATCTAAAGTGAACTAATCCAGAAATGAAGTAATGTTTGTGATCCAGATGTTGAGGCAGGAAGACATCTGGCCTTTAAGACTGGATGACACATGCCTTTAATTCAGACCTGGAGACTGGAAGGCAAACCATTAATCTGGGCCACACCTTCTGTTGGAAGCCCATAAAAGGACAATGGAAGAAGGAAGGGTGGGGGAAGGGTTGCTTCACCTGCTTGCCCTCACCCCCATCAGCACATTCATTCATCTCCTTCTTTGAGATCCCAGCAGAGCAGCTGAGACACCAGCCTTGCTGGACTCAGCAGCTACAAGAGTCGAGCTCTCCATTCATAGCCATTGTTGGGCTTCAGCCTGAAAGTCCTCCCAATGAATTCATATGTATATGGAGAGAGAGAGAGACATTCTGTAAATTCTATGACCCTAGATAACCCTGACTAATATAGCCTGCCTGTCACCCAGGCTTGTGCTAAAATACCTCTCATTTTACTGAATAGTGGCCTCAAGTTGTGAACTCTCTGAATGCTGGCAACACTCCTGCGTCAAAGGGAAGCCACACTTGCTTCCTCTATATGAAAAGGTGAAAAGACTCCACTTAAGGAAAAGGAAAAAAAGAAAAATAAAAACATATTTTGCTAGTAGATACCAAGCTGTGAAAGTCACAGCCACACTTACTCATGCACTCAGTTAAGATGGAAAACTCCCTTGTGTTTGCGTGTGTGAAGCAATATTCATAGAGATGGCTTCTAACCACAGCTCAGCTCTCCTTTAAGAGTTTGAGAGCTCGACCTGTGCAGATAATGGGAGAATAATGTAGTTAAAATCCTGGAAACAACATGGTGGCCAAGGCCACTGGAGTCTGCTTAGAGTTCCAGACCAGCCAGGGCAGCATATTGAAACTCTGCCCAGAACAAACAAACCACACAGGTACCTAAACTTTATGCCAAGATGGAGAAGATTATTATAGACAACAGTGAAGCAGGCCCCATGTTAAATAATAGAATTGCTATACATCACCAGGACCAAAGGCGGTACTTAGTACAAAACTGAGGTGTGTGTGTGTGTGTGTGTGTGTGTGTATACCTCCTATAAATGAACATGCTCCTTCTTGGAGCAATTGCTGGCTCATCCCCATAGCAGAAAACGTACTTTACTTTGTACAGCACACACTCAGCAATTTTCAAGACTTCGTCTCCATCAATCAAGTTTGACCTTCCTAAAACCCATTTGACCCAACTGTGGAATTCCTTACTAAAGAGGTTAAGAAAGGCTCTTTTCTGCGACCCACCCTCAACATGAATCCAATTGTCCATGTTAATCAAACTACCTCATTCATTCCAAATGCTCTCAACTAGATTAAAAGTGTGTTTTTCTTTAATTTTTCAGACTGCTGCTGCTGCCCACGCTGGCATCGGTTGGCTCTGAAACTTGGCTGTCTTTGGCTAATCCTTCTTGTTCTGATTGTGATTAAACTCAGTGTCTTAGGTAAGTGAGACAAATGTTTTTACCTTAGAATTCTCTCTCTAGCCTGGCAGTGGTGACACACAACCTTAATCCCAGCATTCTGGACGCAGAGGCAGGCATATCTCTGTGAGTTCATAGGCCAGCCTGGTCTACAGAGCGAGTGCCAAGACAGCTAAGACTACACAGAGAAACCATGCCTTGAAAAACAAAACAAAACAAAATCTTCCTCTAGTTACACCGTAAGTATTCTGAATTCTTCACCTGAGCCGGCCACCCTGAGCCTGGGGGAAGAACAATGACAGGCAGTTACAGGACAATATCCCCTGTTGCATTTCTCCTGTTTTGGAGAATCACTATGGGGATGACGTATGTGCACCTAGAACTCTAAAAAAAGTCACAAGTGTGACAAGAAAACAATAACAATGAAAACCACAATGCCTACATATGAGTTTATTAGGTGTCTGCCGAACTCCAGAAGACAGCCAGCAACCTTATGCTTGGTGCGGGTATGAGCATCCTCACTCCACAGGGGTGAAGTGCAGAGGTGGGAGAGGTGCATGTGCTTCACAATGCCCTTAGAAGCTAGCCGGGAAGCAGGAACAAGGGGCCCTGCTCCCTACAGCACTTAGATGTGGTGTAACCTACAGCAGTGTGAACCCATTTGTTCTGTGCTCTTCTGGTTCTCTATTTACTCTGTCTCCAAAGTGGTCCCCTGTTAACACGTCGCTAATACATTGTCTCCTGTCCATACTCAAGCTTGTTGAGTTGACTTCGTTTCCTGAAGTGATAGATGCAATATCCATTCTATTGTATGTAGAATGTACTTTTCACCTTCTTCCTGCGTTTTCTATCTACCGCTAGTACAAAAAACACCAGTAGGAAAAGGCATTCAAGAGAACAAGATGAAAACAACAGGCGAAAAATGCAATGTGAACGTTTCAGAGAGCAGTACGAAGGCAACAGGTAATTTTGATTTCCTGATTTTAATCAATATCACATTACCTTTCATCAAGGCTCACATCATGGTGGGTCTTATGTTTGATAAAATGGAAGCATAAAAAGGTTAAGAACTTGTCAAAAGTCATGTGACTGGTAAGGGATGCCGTTGGAAACTGAAGATGTGATCTTGAAATCTAGCATCTTGTCCTCCTGACCATGCTGCCTCAGCCTGATAGCACAGTTGGTTACTACAGACGAACAGCAACTTAAAAAATTACATATGGAGCTGAAGAGACAGCTCAGTGGTTAAGAGTGTTTGTGTGCAAGCGTGGAGACTGATATTACAACCCCAGCCTCCATGTAATGAACACCCCAGGTCAAGCACTGGGACCTTCTTGCTTTCAGTTTTGGAAAAATCAGTATTAGTTTCACATTCAATAAGAGACTCTGCTTCTAAAGAATAGGTGGAGAGGGATAAAGGCAGACATCTTACATCCTTCTCTGGCCTCCGCACGTGCATAGGCACATGTACTTGTACACACATGCAAGTAAACCACACACACACACACACACACACACGCGCACACACACACACACACAGAGAGAGAGAGAGAGAGAGAGAGAGAGAGAGAGAGAGAGAGAAACAATTTCGTTTTGGGTTTTTTTTTTT